TCACAATTAAACTCATGAAATTTTTGGATAGGAGTTCGAAAAGACAAAGGTTTAGAGGGCATATGATTAATCAAGTAAACAGCAGTTAAAAGGGCATCTCCCCAAAAATATTTAGGAACATGATTAGCTAGTAATAGTGCTCGTGTGATTTCAAGTAGGTGTCTATTTTTCCTTTCCGCCACACCATTTTGTTGTGGCGTATCAACGCATGAGCTTTGTTGGATCATTCCCTTTTCATTGAAAAACTGAGTCAGGGTATTAGAAAAATACTCCCGACCATTGTCACTACGAAATATTTTAATCGTCTCATTAAATTGAACTTGGATCATGTTGTAGAATTTTCTGAAAATATCGACTACTTCATGTTTGTCTTTCATCAGAAATAACCAAGTAAGACGCGTATGATCGTCAATAAAAGTGACAAACCACCTTTTACCAGAAGAAGTAGGGATCCTAGATGGACCCCAAATATCACTATGAATTAATTGAAAGGGTTTAGAGGGAATATAAATACGAGAAGGATAAGAAGACTTGTGATGTTTAGCTAAAGCACACGCTTCACATTTAAAAAAAGATGGATCTTTATTGATGAATAACTTAGGTAACAATCGTTTCAAATAAAAAAAACTAGGATGACCCATACGAAAATGCCATAACATAATATCTTGATCAGTAGACACAGACTCTAATTTATGAGGAGATTCTTGGGCAACCATACTTGAAGGCAGTCCATCTTCAAGATAATACAGCCCGTCGCACTCCCTAGCACTGCCAATCATCCTCCCCGAGTTCAGGTCCTGGAAATAGCACATAGAGGGTGAGAAAATAGCTAGACAGTTTAGCTCACGGGTTATTTTGCTGGAACCTACATGACAATTTAGGGACATGAAAAACTTTAGAAAGAGTGATAGGTGGAGAAATTTGAATTGTCCCTCTGCCAGCAATTGCAGCAAGAGAGCCATTAGCAATTTTCACTTTGTTATTCCCTGCTGCAGGTTCATAGGAAGAAAATAATTGCGAACAATGTGTCATATGATTCGTAGCCCCAGAATCAATGATCCAAGAACTCGAAGGAGTGGAGCAAACAAAAGCAGAAGGAATACCTTTCTGGGATGGAGCAGGGGAAGAAGATGAATTAAGTGTGAATTGTGGAGAGTTAAAAAGCTTATACAAGTGCTGTTGTTGTTCCTGAGTGAAAGGTAGTGGTTCTGGAGAAGCTGTTTTTCTTCAGAAGTTTCAGCCATGGCAGCAGTAGCTCTCCCGTCCCCCTTCTTTTTTGTAGACGATGGTTTCCCATGAAGCTTGTAGCATTTATCCTTTGTGTGCCACAACTTCCCACATAAATCACAAGAGAATGGCATTTTCTTGTCACCTGCACCATTAAAACGCTTTGAAACCAAAGCCATGTTGTCGGTCTCTGGAATTGAGGGAGCATGGTCATACATCACCCTTTTTCGTGCCTCTTCCTGGCGAAGTTCAGAAAAAACAGTCCTGGCCGTTGGTAGGGGCTTACGGCCAAGAACTCTTCCTTTAGTTTCGTCAAAACTGTGATTGGCGCCAGCAAGAAACATGAAGACACGATCATCTTCCTCTCTGCGTTTTGCACGTACAAGATCTTTGGGATTTTCCCAAACGTCATCATTATAGCATAAATCCAACTCCTGCCACAGAGAGAGCATCTCATTGAAATAAGTAGTGATGTCTCTGTCACCTTGTTTAGAGAGCCAAAGTTTTTTCTTCAACTCAAATATTTGAGATGAATCGCCACGATTAGAGTATGCCTCACGAACAGAATCCCATATATCCTTAGGATCCATATACATGAACGGCCGACGGATCCGTTCGTCCATGGAATTGAGCAGCCAACCAGCAATCAGGGAGTTGGCAGATCGCCATCGCCTGAAAGAAGGGTCAGTTGGTGCAGGTTCTGGTTCTTCTCCAAGGCAAGCTTGACCGATTGAGCCCATTCTGAATAGTTCTGACCATTAAGTCGGACCACCGTAATTTGTAAAGCCTGAAACGAGTTAACATCCAGACTGGAAGGAATTGGTGATAGGGTTTGTGGGTCAGATGATGGACTCGACATGCCAGAATCTTTGGACATGATTAACCAGAGGAATAGTTAAAAAAAATAGATCCGAAGAGAAGAGTGAAAAAAAAAAACTCAGAACGCAGTAGGGCAATTAACAGGAATCAAACCCTAAGGCTCTGATACCATGTAATTTTATATAATATGAATCTTCACTCTCCTGAATTAACAAGCTACCCTTAATCATGGGTGCTAAACAAGCCGTCAAACCACAATCGGAATTGGCTCTGATACCATGTTAAGACCCGGGGTTCCATCCTAAAAGGTCAACCTGATAGGAGGAGTAGCCCAAAGCCTTATATAGTGTTTAATTGTTTTATAGCTTTCCGATGTGGGACAAATGCTTCAACATTATCTTTAGCAAACTTACTGACAATGACCAGATTTTTGGTTATTGCAGGAACATGTAAGATATTGCTAAGAGATAATGAAATAGATGAATGATAAGGGGATGGAAAGGATGAAAAAACAACAGACTTAATTTCCAGACCTTGGCCGTTGCCCATAAAGAGCTTATCAGTAGTAGCAATAGGCTCACTATGCTGTAGATTGAGTGGATCAGGTGTGACATGGTGAGTAGCCCCTGAATCTGAGAACCAATTCTGATTACTAGGTGGTGGTCCTAGTATTGAAGAGTTAACACATGCCCAAGCTGCAGTTGGAACAGTAGGATTAGAGGTAGGAGTTGATGTGTAGGAGTTGATGAGTATCTTGGTGTGACAGGGTTATGAAAGTTAACTGGTTGGTTAGGTATAGAAGTGAAATGATATTGAGGCTGAGAAAATTGGTTCTGAGGCTGAGGAAATTGATTCTGAGGCTGAGAAAGTTGGTTCTGAGGCTGAGAATAGGGGTAAGATTGGTTCTATGTGAGGATTGGGAAGTATTTGTGGCACAGTAGGCTGGATTGTATCTGTGATAACATATGAGTGCATTGTGACCATTCTTGCCACAAACTTGACAGGTAACAGGGTTACGACCACCAGTCCGAGCACCTCTGCCTTTGTAAGAACTACCTCGACCTCTACCTCTGTAGGAAGAAGAGCCACATGTGTCATCAAACTGAGCTACTTGGACGGAAGCATCTACTGAAGAATTTTGTGGTTCATTATCAAAGTTTTGTAAAGAGTTGTCAACTCGTGCAACATTGGCAGAGAATAATGTTTGTTGAGATGAGTCACGAAGTTTCTTCAGACGCAATTCTTTTGCCAGCAAAAGAGATTCAAGATCTGATACAGTAATTGGATCCAATGTGCTTCGAGAAGATATAGAAGACACGAGCGACTCGTATTCATCTGGCAGACCTTCAAGGATAACATCAATGTGTTCCTTGGTAGATATCGATTCGCCAACCAGAATTAGGTTATCTATTATAGTCTGAATTCGAAGGAGATAATCTGAAATGGAACGATCACCTTTTCCAGTGTTATATAATTCGGATTTCAGTTGACGAGCCCTAGCAACGACATGAGAACGAAAGAATTCCTGAATTTCATTCCACAACTGGTGTGAATGCTTGCAATGAATGACACGAGCGTGAAGGGAATCAATAAAGCGACGCTAGTAACCAAGAAAACAACATCTGATCTTGTTGTTCCCAGGTGTTGTAAGCTTCGTTGATGATTTTTGATCCGTCATCAGCAACAGCAAACCGTTCTGGTATTTTAGGTTTTTCGATGAATTGAAGAAGCTTGTGTGCTCGTATCACAGATTGAACATGATGCCTCCATAGCAGGAAGTTGTTCGAATCGAGTTTGATTGGTAGCGGATGATGAAAGATTACTGGAGAAGTTTGAGAGGTTTGAGAGGAAGATGAAGTTTCGGATGTAGAGGTAGAGATCGTCATGGTTGGAACGAGCTAAGATCTGATACCATAATAGAATATAGAGACTGGAAGAAGATCAGAATGAATTCATCTTATTGATAATGTGTGAGATTACAAGTATTTATACAATACAGTAGTTAAACAGAAACCACAAGCCGTTCTAACTAACTGTAACAGTAATGATAGTCTATTTAATACTGCTAACATGCCTCATGCACACAATGTGGGGCGGGTCTTGCTATGAGCATGACCTGTGCCGCCACGCCCCGACCCACCCTGTTCAATGTATAAATATACATATATTTTTTAAAAATCATACACATACATATATATGTGTGTGTAATAAATAATAAATTCCTTGGTGTTGTAACATATGAATTTAATGCTTGTATTTGAATGAAATGAACCATTAATTATGAATTATCAATATTTTTTTAATATTGAGATTCATTTTATATAATTAGATTAAATTTGACACCTTTCATTGTATTGTGACATGATTTATTTTACTTATTTTTTTATCATTATTGGAGAAAATTTATTTAAATTTAATTTATAGTGACTTGACATAAATAGAAACACATCATAGCTAATTAAGTTATAGCAGAGCGGGTCATGAGGCAACATCTCAAGACCCGTGTGGGTCACGAGGCGGGGCGGGAGTATCCACTTAGTAAAGTCACTGGCGGGCGGGTATGGGTATTGTACTACCCGTTGCCACCCTTACTCAATAATAATATTTTATAGATATTGTAGTCAATACCAATTGGAGGAGTATCATAATGCTTCTGCGCTAAAAAATAATTTTTGTGTTATGTTTTATTTAGTTTAGGCTAAAGGGTCAAATAGGCCCTCGAACTTACTTAAAAAGTGCAAATCACCCCTTGAGGCTCTGTCCGGCCGCCACCATTTGAGGCGGTTCTCAGTGTCAAATCATGGTTTCAAGTTTTGAAATGTAAAACTGAACCGAAACCGAGCTGAACTTTCTACTTTGATTCCGTATTTGATTTTTGGTCAAAATCGAACCAAAAAACTCAAATTCACCCCTACTAAATATCTTATCATGTGAATGTTGTTTGATTTCATCAGTTCTGAATCTGGGCAAACCAACCAAATATGCTCTATCAACCATTGCAATTCAAACTCTCTTTTGAACGAGGTAAGGATCATATTTCCTTCACAAATTTAGGCATTTAATTTTAGATTAAGTTCAATAGTGTAGATTATTTTACTTATTAGTTATTATTGCACATCTCTAATTCACTAGTAATGTACTACCTCCGTAACGTAAATATGTTCTCATTTCAAAAGTAGGTAGATTAAGAATAGTGAAAGGGGATATGAATTATTGAGGGTATGATGAGAAGATACTTAAATGATGTGATGGAATGAAGGATAAATCCAAAAAAAAGTAGTTGTAATAGTGTATTATTTTTAAAATTATTGAGGGTATGATGAGAAGATTTAGAAATGGGAAGATATGAATGTTACGGCCAAAAAAGGAAAGTGAGAAGATATGAATGTTACAGAGTATTTGTTATGCAATATCTTAGAGATCTCAGAATCTTTAAAGAACCCTTATTCTTAGGAGACTTCGATTAGTAGGATTCCTTCCTACTAAACTGTTATTCCCATCGTTGTGAACCTGGGAAATATTAAAAATATATCCTACAATATGAATTAGCTACACAATTTCAATGTTCTATAATTATTATTACTATTATTATTAGTATTATTTTATCAATCAACTTATTTTTCAACTTTTGTTTTTGTAGTAACTAAACCAGTTTTTGAGAAATTTCTTCATATTGAAAATTTAAAGTGTAATTTTTTATATCTTAATGTATCCAATACTCTGTCATCAACTTTGATCCATTATTTTAACTAATATATTTATGTAATACTACCTCAGACCCTTTATTTTATCTATTAACTACTAGAATTACATATTCACTACTTCAATCCCTCCAATACTCTGTCATCAAATGATTTTTGCAAGTTAACTGGTCCGGAAAATACATATTCTGGACCAGTTAACTTGCAAAAATTATTTGACGATCTTCCCGATTGAGTTTTTGGCTGAATTTTTTTGTGGATAAACTAGACTTGATGGAGAACATGTGATAAAAATTTTATCAAAAAATTCCACCCGGAAGGCGGCCAAACGCCGCGGTCCGGACGGCGGTTCCGGTCAGGAACTCCTGACCTGAACATTTGTGTATGTATGTATATATATATATATATATATATATATATATATATATATAGATTTAGGTTCAAGTGAGAAAACCATCTTAGGAGAGGAAAAAAGAATGAATGAGAGCCCTTAGATTGAACAAGCATTCACATTATTAAAATAGTTCGTATAAGGCCACAAAAGTCACTTTGGCCACTTTCCTTCTAGGAATTGTTGTGGCATATATTTGACTTCCCCATCATATTTAAGATAACTAATGAATGTTTCCATAACTATTATTTTACCTAATATATTCTTATAAAGTATTCTTCATTTGTTTGACCCGGTCAAAATGATTTCTTTTATCTTATCTTCCGTTGATTCAGAATTTTGTTTACTCTTTTCTTGATTATTTTCATCAGTTTATGATTTACATACAATATAGTGTGTTTTATTCTTCATGATTATTTGCTTTTTTTACATATATCTATTTAGTTTTTTTCCCCATTCTATTTATTTTTATTTACATGTTTTTAAGACCTTTTTATATATAACAGAGATGCAGTCATATTTATAAGAATTTATTTCATGTTATTGAAAAGTGCACAACAATTGATATGTAAGTGCACAATATAATTTAGATTACTTTGATGCACTTATCACATCTTATTCATGCACTTTTCATTATTTTAATTTACTTCTTGTGCAGATACATGTAACACTAAAAGATGTCATAATCAGATACTTGTCACGCTTTTGAAAGAAAAAGTGCATTAATATATAAAAATGTCAATCGCTTCAATTGTGTGATGTAATAGTGCACTTCTGCATACATTTAAAACACACATAATAAAAATATGTTTTACAAAGTATGTTATAATAGTGCACATTTGTTTATATTTGAAATGCATATAATAGCGATTTCTTTACACCCATGTATGCTTATTTTCATTTTTTTTAGAAATATATAGAAGTGCATAACTACAAAAACTAAAGTGCAGATTGATCATAAAAGTGTAAAGGTTAATAGAATAAAAATATTACTACTCTTTAGTTTCATTGTAATCAATTGTGTTTACTATTTAAGTTACTATTAGGGTAAATTAAATATTCATTATTGATACAAATTGGTTATTGGTCGGAGATTTAATGGAAAAACATATGATATTAAAAGATGAGTAAATAAATACTTAATAGAGCCCAAACGTATTGGTTGTGCATAAAAGTTCTAATAAAAGTGCAGTCATTCAATGATGGAGTGCAGATGGACAAATTACGAGATATTACATCTAAAAAAGGATTATATAAAAACAATTCATGCTCAAGTGCATTAATTTTTTTTAATTAATTAACCGAATTATATGTGAGACAATATCTTAAGTGGAATGAGAGTCAAATATTTATTATAATAAACGGTTTTAAATATAAGGGAGCCACTTGGCATTAATTAATAGCCTAATTTGTAGAACAACTTTCCATGTGAACACTTATATGTGCGAATCAATTTTATATCTTTTACATAAATGCCCTCCTCTCATTATTATACTGCCGATTTTTCAATTGATATCCTAGCATGTGCATATCACATGCCATTTTTGAAAGCGGGTAATGTTATCTCAGCCGCACGATTGCATATGTGAATGGTTAGATTTCATTCTTTTTTTCTCTCCTGGGAGATCATTCTCACCTGAACCCTCCCCTAAATATATCTGCAGAATGACCAGTATGTTTCAAGAATTTATTTGACTGCCTTCCCGATCGAATTTTGAGCTGAAATTTGGTATGGATAAACTAGACTTGATGAGGAACATGCACAAAAAATTTCATCAAAAAATTCCACCGGGAAGACCCCCAAACGGGGAAGACCGCACGGGCCTGTCCGGTCAGGCCGCCTGACTCGAACAGCTCTCTCTCTCTCTCTCTCTCTCTCTATATATATATATATATATATATCTATATATATCTATATATATATATATATTTATATATATAGAAAAGATCCTGTCCAGACGTCCGGACAGGAGCCGCCGTCCGGCCGGCGGCGTTTGGCCGCCTTCCCGGTGGATTTTTTTGATGAAATTTTTATGGCATGTTCTCCATCAAGTCTAGTTTATCCACAAAAAAATTCAGCCAAAAACTCAATCGGGAAGGTCGTCAAATGATTTTTGCAAGTTAACTGGTCCGGAATATGTATTTTCCGGACCAGTTAACTTGCAAAAATCATTTGACGACCTTCCCGATTGAGTTTTTAGCTGAATTTTTTTGTGGATAAACTAGACTTGATGGAGAACATGCCATAAAAATTTCATCAAAAAATTCCACCGGGAAGGCGGCCAAACGCCGCCGGCCGGACGGCGGCTCCTGTCCGGACGTCTGGACAGGAGCATTCCTCTTTATATATATATATATATATATAGGGGAGGGTTCTAGTGAGAACTCGCCTTAAAATGAGAACTTGTTATAATGAGAACTTTTAATCCCAACCTTTTATTAAATTCAATCATTCGTAGGATACACATGGAGTACTTTGTGTAATTAATGAAAATTCAAATGAGGTCTTGTTTTTAATTATTGTAGAATTATTACAAAATCGCCACCTTGTTAATGCTAACCCTTGATTTCATAAATCAATGGTGTAGATTAGAAGTTCTCATTTATAAATGGGTTCTCACTAGAACCCTCCCCTAATATATACATATATATAATTATATAAAACATTAAATTCATAAATAAAAAACATTATATTACGTCATAGTTTAATATTGATAATACAGTATCAGAAAAATTAAAAACTATTGTATTGGTTTTAACAAAGGCTAAAATACAATTCAAATTATATGAATAACAAAAATGGACATAACCTCAATTACAAAAAAATAAAAAATATTAAACAAATATATTTGGAAGATGATATACGTAATTGGGAAGTAGATTAATAGAATAAGCTTGTATGCATTATGATTGTTCTATTAATTAAATAATTAATTAGTTAATTAATATTAAGTAAAAAAGTTGCCGGTCTTAGAAGGTATAAAAAGGACAAAGCAATGTATTGTCACAACAAAGTAGTGTAGTGCAGCGAGAGGGCGAATGAGAGGCCGCAGGCGCGAGTTCGATTCCCGCAGGCAACATTTGCAGCCGGTTTTTTGCTGATTCGCGGGTCTGGACTGGGCCGGTTCTTTTCCGGGTTTACACGGGTCACCGGTTATTTCCGGGTTTAGCTATATTAGCGGTTTAGAGGTTAACTGGACCGGATAATGAGCAGGGTGGCCGGGTTCCAGGTCGAACTACCCGGTCCGGTCCTTTAAACATAGCTGATTTGATACAATTTGTACAATAAATACTAAAATCAGGAAGGAATTCACTTAGAATCATATCAAATCTCAACACTTATTGCATATCTTTGATTCACCTGTAATATATTTAGTAGGCGATATCTTAGAAATCTTAAAATCTTTAAATATCCCTTATTCTTAGGAGATAGTAGGATTCCTTTCCTATATTCCTACTTAGGTTGAATCTCTAGCTGTATATATATTTATTCTTCTTCTCATATGGAATGAAACAACAAAATCAGAATAGAAAAACCTTTTTATATTTCTTCCAATTTACAAGTAGTCTTCATGGTACCATTGCTTTCCCAAGTGGGAAAGGATGAGATTTAGGGAAAGGATTTGTGTTGCATGCAGGTTGTTGACTTCAAGGGTTGATCTTACTCTGATACCCAAACACCAAAGATGTCCATTAGGACTTAAATTAGCATTAGAAGTGATTATGTTATCATTTCATCATTTTCATTTACCCTAGTGCCACAAAGGCTCCCACCTACGGTGGGGTAAGGGGGGGTCGGATGTACGCAGTCTTACCCCTATACTAAAGCACATAGAGACTGTTTCTGGATGACCCATAGTGAAAATCGCGTCCAAAATTGCATGGACTGACTGCTGCTTCATAACAAAGAAGTGCAGACAGTTTAGTGAGCCGTTTTGCTTTATTCCATCATATTCTCAAGCCAAAAAATAATGAATATTTGGCTCCATTGCAAGTGATGGAAATAGAAGTGATTCTGTTATATGATGCCTTTATCTGGGGTAAATTAATTCACAGTTTGTCAATTAGTGCATTTGCTAAAATACCCATTGCTGCAGATTTCAAGAGCATCTTTAACTCCCGAATCAAGTTACATAGCTAAACCAGCTGCATCTTGGCTTGATGATTTTTTGGTTTGGATATCCCCAGAAGCTTTTGGCTGCTGTCGTAAATTTAATAATGGGAGTTTTTGCCCAGCTGATGATCAGGTGCAGTTACTTTCTCATTCTAAGGGTACATATGACGAGATGCAGAAGCATTAACAATATTTCAAGTATACATTGGTTGAACAAATCTAAATTTCGCGTCTGTTTTCTCTCTTCAAAGACTAGAAAGTGTTATTCAGTAATTTTGTATGTTACTCTAATTCACAATTTTCTTTCAGCCTCCTTGTTCATTCAGCAGTGGATTATCTACTTGGGTGGGCATATGTAAGGACTGCACAACGGTAGTTCATACAAACTCGTATTTTATCTGCCTAGTTTTCTTTTTTGTACTCATCTGCATGCATCTTTCCATCATTTACAATGGAGCCAAAGATTTATTATTTTTTTGGCTTGAGAATGTGATGGAATAAAGCAAAATGGCTTATTAAACTGTCTGCGCTTCTTTGTTATGAAGCAGCAATCAGTCCATGCAATTTTGGACGTGATTTTTACTATGGGTCATCCGGAAACAGTCTCTATGTGCTTTAGTACAGGGGTAAGACTGCGTACATCCGACCCCCCCCCCTTACCCCACCGTAGGTGGGAGCCTTTGCGCACTGGGGTAAATGAAAATGATACTCATCTGGATGCATAATTTAATAATCTGGCAATCTGCAACTTTCAATTTGAAAAGAAGCATTCCTTTCGGATTTTGGTATACAAGATTTCCTCGACCGTCATGTTTCTTCGTTTCTCTATCTATATTTTTAGAGTTGGAGTGACTAGTTATCAAATACGATCTATATTCCTATATTTACCATGCTGTGCTAGATTTTTACTAATGCATGGATTGTTCAGTGCTTTCTTCAATCAGATTTAGACAATGGCCGCCCAACAACTGAACAATTCAAAGAGAAACTCCCGTGGTTCTTGAGTGCATTACCTTCTAATGATTGTGCAAAAGGTGGTAATGGGGCTTACACTAACAATGTTGAGCTTAAAGGTTGTGCTACTGAGTAATATCCTAGACTTATCAATTTTTCATTTAGTCTCTCTCTATTCTGATTCTTCTAGCCTGACTTCCGTGCTTTTGTCAGGCTACGAATCTGGTGTTATTCAAGCATCAGCATTTCGTACATTTCACACCCCTCTCAACAAGCAAGTATGCCATGCAGGATTTATTTTTTTCATTTGATTTTATTTCAAGTCCCTTGATTAAATCTTATTTATCTATTTTTTTTAGATTGACTATGTTAATTCAATGAGGGCTGCACGGAGTTTTGCTTCTAGAATGTCTGATTCTTTAAATGTGAGTTTTCTGATGCTGTACTATATGCATTTGGAGATCAGTATTCATAGTATTTGAGTTTGCTAGTGATAGAACCATCCGATTATACAAACAATTCACAGAAATTATCAAGAACACAACTACCAGCTTTATTGAATATGAACAGTAACAATGGCCGAAGCCCCCAAATGGCCGAAACCCGCAAAAGAAAGAGATAGAACTCTAACTTCCCAGTCCAAGACAATAGTCAAAAAACAGCCTACTGACCTCTCCCAGACTTATTCTATTTATAACCATCTAGCTTAACCGTAAGTAGTTAATAGCTAACAACCGAATTTAACTATGAACTAATTAGTCTATTTATTCCTTATACAATATACTCGGCCAGAGTATTTATCTTCTTTATTAAGTACAACTGTATCCCTATCAATATTCCCCCCTTAAACATCCACCTTGCCCTCAAGGTGGATGGTATGAAACAGCCAAAATCTTCTTTCTCTTCATCCTAGCCACCTCTCCCTTTCCAATACTTGATTGATTGCTGGACCTTTAGCTTTGCTACTTCCATCTTCTTCCATATGTATTTCACAGCAGAATTACACAGATGCCAGGACATTTTCTCACAATCGGTTCTCACAATGCTCCCTACTCTTTCTTCTTCAATATCAGTAGATAACCCATGATAGTTCAGGAAATTTCCTTCTCCATTCTTATTTACCAGGTTCTTCATCTCCGTATTAGTTCCCAGTTGACTTAATGATCTCCTTGTATAATTACCTTCTGCCCATGTACCTCCCATTTGATGGTCTGATTTTGGAAGTTAATCTCCGTATCTCCCAAGCTTGTCAGCCATTCCATGCCCAACACCATATCTGTTCCCCCCCATTCTAGAATGTAGAAAGGTTGATGTATTTTCAGCCCCTGTAGTTTCAATTTCAACCCTTCACATCTGCCATTGTTTCTTATTTGATTTCCATTACCTATCTGTACAGAACATCCTTTTATCGTATGGTATGGTAACTCCCATTTTCTCACTAACTCTTGAGAAATGAAGTTATGGGTTGCACCATTATCAATAAGGACTTCAACCTTCTGTTCTCCAGATTCCCACTTCAATACTCCTTTCATCTTGAAGGTTTTCATGCTTGAAATCCCTTCCTTACTCCTTGAGTACAATTGCATAGTTTTGAATTCCATTTCAATTCCCTCTTCCTACTTTGTATCCTTCCTGACAGGTTCAGACTCTTCTTCTCCTTCAGAATCCTCCTTTTTTTTACCCCGGAAGGTCAACCACCAAAGTCAGTGGGGTAAATGCCGGGGGACATTTACCAGTTTTTATTAAGGATAAATTAGTACAGGTAGAGGGGGGGGACTAGACCAAACTCCCTCCGAAAGCATACAGTATAAAACAAATTCAGAAAGAAATTGGGGGGACCAAACCAAACCCAATTTAAAAGAACAGATTATAAAATCTAAATGAAGGTAATCCATAAAAATCCATGATGTAGGCCTTCCTGACAGATCTAGGCAATTCACTTGGCCTGCTAAATAATTCAAATTGGGCCGACCCATCCTTAGCTAGATGATGAGCTACCCAATTTCCTTCACGTAAGGTATGCCTGAAACCGACCCCTTTCCTGTTCGATGCCAGCAAAGTTTCCTGAATCTCCATCTTCCACCTGCGATTTTCCTTGCCCAACATAAAGAGAATGGCCTCCCAAGAATCAGCTTCCACCAGAAACTTTTCAAATCCCAATTGCAGCGCCCATTTCGTTACACCTAAAATCGCTTTAAGCTCTGCCTCTAATGGTGAAGAAGCTATGACGGGGAACCGAACGCCAAGAACCATTTTGCCGCTGCTTCAGAATCCTCCATAAGAACAAATTTGTAGTGTTTCATTTTGCAAATATGACCTCAGTTCCAATTCTCCCCACATTTGAAACATAACCCCTTCCTACTCATCTCCTGCAATTCATTTTGTGTTAATCTGGGACTTATCTTCTTTTGAACAGAGTTGGCTGATTCCTCCACCTTGCCATCAACTGAATTCTTCTCAGACTGATTCTTAGATGTTTGGTTAAAATTTCCTTTATAGCCATCTCCCCATTTGTTATAACTATGTCCCCCTGACAGATTACTCTTCCAATTTTTCTTCCCCTCTTCCTTATTTCTCTTGGTCAGAATTTCATTGTTTTTATTCTCAATCAACAATGCAGTGAACCATAATCTCAGCCAGGTCATTGGTCTTATACAGTTTTACTTCAGCTTTGATGTCTTTCTTCAGCCCATTCAAAAAGATACCCCTCATCTTAAGAGGCAATGGCCACTTCAAATTGCTCCCTGTACTCCTTTACAGTACTTTTCTGTTTCAAACTTAGTTGAACCAGCTCCGGTTGAAAACGAGAAGTCAGGGCTTTCTTCAGCTACTCGCAGGTTCTCTCTCGTGCTTGTTTCTCCCACCATTGAAACCAACTGAGCGCCTTATCTTCCATTGCAACCACAACCACTTCTATCTTATCTTCTTCCTCTATGTGGTTTAACCGGAAGTAGCGGTCAATCCTTACTAACCAACCATAGGCGTCTTCGCCATTGAATAGAGGCAGATCCACTTTTCTGCCTGTACGCTGATGATGATTTCGCTCCCGGTGATGATGATTGCGACGCGTAGGTGAATAGTCAAAATTCTCTTCCGATTCATCTTGACTCGCTGACTTTCACGAATGTTGATGATTGCGCTTCCGATGATGGTGATGATTGCAATGCGGAGGTGAATAGTCAGAGTTTTCTTCCGAATTCCCAGAACTAACTGACTTTCGCGAATGACGCGAATGGTGATTGTGCGAAGTGCGATGCGATGCAGATGAAGCCTGCGATCTACTTCGCGATCGATCTTGAGCTCGAGCATCCAATCTGGCGAGAAGAGTCGCCTGCATCGCTGCCAACATCTCCGTGGTTTGTTGCTGATTTCTGTCCACTTTCTCCTCCAGCTCGTTCAACCATATATCCATCTTCGTTCTTGTCAAGACCATCCACAAAGATCGACGACACTCTGATACCACTGATAGAACAATCCAATTATACAAACAATTCACATAAATTATCAAGAACACAACTACCAGCTTTATTGAATATGAACAATAACGATGGCCGAAGCCCCCAAATGGCCAAAGCCCCCAAAAGAAAGAGATAGAACTCTAACTTCCCAGTCCAAGACAATAGTCCAAACAGCCTACTGACCTCTCCCAGACTTATTCTATTTATAAGCATCTAGCTTAACCGTAAGTAGTTAATAGCTAACAACAGAATTTAACTATCAACTAATTAGTCTATTTATTCCTTCTACAATATACTCGGCCATAGTATTTATCTTCTTTATTAAGTACAGCTGTATCCCTATCAGCTAGTAACTTGAAATAATTTTTCCATGCATGATTTTTTTTTAATTTCTTAATAATTTACTTTTGGGTATTCCAACCTTTTAGCTTGAAGAAATCGAGGTGATTCTGATACCTTTTCTGTAATTTGCCCAACCATAAATTATTAACTTGATAATACATATCTACCTGAAAACATTGGACCCTATAAGGTTGTGTTTGTTCTTGTTTGCAGGTGGAGGTCTTCCCATATGCTGTATTTTATATATTTTTCGAACAATACCTTGATATATGGAGGACAGCATTAATCGATCTTTCCATAGCTGTTGGTTAGTAGTCTTATAAAATTACACCCTTCCGATATTCTGGGATGCTGGAGTCCATCTATTTTGAACCTAGTCAACCTACTATAGAGCACATTTTGAAATGTGAAATTGATGGGGGACAAGTAAAAGATTCAAGGCATTACTCAAATCATTAATATATGGTGAAAACTAGTATTTTCTGACTTTTTTTCTGCACATTTTTGGCAGGTGCTGTATTCTTAGCATGCTTTGCCATCACATGCAGGTGAGTTTAGTAATATCTGTTTTTTGTAGTTGCAATGCTTTGTTTTGCGTTTTCTTTAGGGTTGTAACATTGATTTGTAAATACAGTTTTTGGACTTCAGCAATTATCTTACTTGTGTTGGTGATGATCGTAGTAGATATGATGGTACATGGTCTTCTTTAGAATTTCTATTGTCATGCACCTCGTTGTCTTATTTTTTGTTTTGACACATGTGTATATTTTGCAGGGCATAATGGCAATCCTAAATATCCAATTAAATGCTGTATCGGTTGTCAACCTTGTAATGTCAGTGGGTATTGCTGTTGAGTTCTGTGTGCATATTACACATGCTTTTCTGGTCCGTTCATTACACTATTTTTTTGTATCTTAACATTGCATATTTTCTTTGATCCAATGCAAAAAAGATTTTTAAAATGTCCCATCTTTTTTTAATTTTCTTAGTTCGTCACTAATTTGTTAGGGACATCAAATTTATCAGTGAAAGTTTTAAATTTGTTTTGATTTCTGGTAATTTGGTGAATGTTAGGTAAGCAGTGGAGATAGGAATCAACGCATGACGGATGCATTGACCTCTATGGGAGCCTCTGTATTTAGGTATGGCCGTTTCTCCCTTATCCATTGCAGATTTCCTTTTGCATGCCATACGATAGCTTATAAGTGTTATTACCCCCACCCCCTATTGAAAATGATCTATATCCTCTCATTAATTCTTTATTGATGCCGAATGCTTTTGCAGTGGTATCACTCTTACGAAGCTTGTTGGAGTGATTGTTTTGTGTTTTTCACGCTCAGAAATTTTTGTGGTACCTCTCTGAGTTTTTTTCTTATTTCATTTCTCCACCATTCCAGTAAAGCCTTTTTTCGTATGCTCTGTAGTTCTAAAATGGTACTCCTAAATTGAGCCCCCTTCAAAAATGTGCAGGTTTACTATTTCCAAATGTACCTGGCCTTGGTTTTTCTTGGTTTCCTTCATGGCCTCGTCTTTCTACCCGTAAGACACCTTATAATTTTTTTAACAGTCATTGATCTCTTAATTCTTGATATGCCCCCACAAACGCACCCTCACATGTCGCTAATTACAGTACGGTGCCAAAGCTTTAACCTTCAGTTCTGTTAGTATGGATGCTAATTACCCACCATCTTTTTTTTGCCCAACAATCGGGAGGCTTGGTTGACATGGTTTCTAATAATTATATTAATAATTTCATAAATATTAAAAAAACACTGATGTTACAATGTGACATCCGGTTGGCACCAAATACACTTATTCATGTACTAGCATCCATTGAACTTGGTTACTCTGGTGTTTTCGGTGCTGTAACTCTCAATGGCGTTTGGCGGCTGTGATGACTCATCACCAAAGCCGGATCCGATGTGATTTGAAGACCAGTGACAGTGGTTTTGGGGGTTTCTGTTGATGCAGGTGGTGCTGAGCATGGTTGGTCCACCGTCAAGGTCTGTGCAAATCGAGAAACAAGAAAGTCCTGAACCTTCTACAACACACCCCCACTTCTAAACTACTACCATAGTACCATATATACATAATTATGTAGCTTGTGAGCGCTACTATGGAATTTAATTAATGCTAAATGAAATATTCTTAGAGGCGTTGCACTTGGGAATTGCTCTACTTAGGTTGTGAATGTATAAATAATACATGTACATGGAATTGCACTTAAATAAGAGTTGTCTGTGTAGGGTGTTTAGAGTGATAGAGAAATCATTGGCCAAAACTATTAATTTCGCCTTGCTTTTAACCAATCGTGGAAATAAATGTAATTTTTATGATTGGGCGTTTGGTTATTTTTTGTAATTGGTAAGAATGTTGTTAATCATATCAAACTTTCGTTTCACTGCAATTGTTGATATAGACATGAGTATAATTTCTTTTGACGTAATTGCCCTTAATAAGTGTAAGAGCAAGACATAACTTTTCCCAAAATAGGAGTACCTAGTGATGGACCCGGGCCGGGCCAAGGCCCGATCGGGCCTCGGGTCTGGTATAGGTTGGCCCGGGACCGGCCCGGGCTATGGCCGGTTCCGGTTCGGGCCAGGCCACCCGGCCGGGTCACGGGTCGGGCCACCCGCCGGGCCGGGCCGGTTCATTATATATATATATATATATATATATATTAAATATATATATATATATATATTAAATAATTATATATTATACAAATTGCTATTAAAAACAAAGTTCAAGTGCATTTATTTGAAATAGGAACTACATTTGAGAATTGAGAAAAAAATAACAATACGAAATACATTTTCTAATAAATATCAATTGGGATTTCCGCCACCGTTGGTTGTTATTTTTCCTTTGTCACAGGACTTCATATGTTTTATTGGCATCTTGTATCTGTGTGAACGCCCCAAGCAACACTCTTTCTTGCACCACTTGGAAGTTGCCCACCACAGTCCGGTCTTCGGGTTCTTCCACTTATCAAAATTGTTTTGCATAAGGGAAGATGTACTTTCCATCTTTAAAATGGTATATGTATAAGTAGGAATGTAGGATAATAAGAGAAGATGAAGATTAGGGATGGACTCGGTTCGGGCCGGGCCCGGTTCGGGCCGGGCCCGGTTCGGGCCTTGAATCGGCCGGGCCTCGGTTCAAGGTTTGGGAGGCCCGGAACCGGCCCGGGTAAACCCGGGTCCAGTTTGGGTCGGGTCACACGCCCGGTTCACGGGCCGGGCCGCCCGCCGGGCCGGGCCTTATAATTTTTTTTAAAAATTATATATTATATTATTATAATAATTCTTATTAAAAACAAAATTCAAGTGCATTTATTTGAAATTATGGCTGGACTCGGGCCGGTTCGGGCCCGGCCGGGCCTCGGGCAAGAAAACTGGGGGCCGAGCCCGAACCGCCGGTGGCCGGTTCTGGGCCAAACTGGGCTGGGCCAAACCGGTCCTTTTTTTTTGTTCTCCTATTTAACCCCCTACCCCTCCCCCTCAACCCCAAACCACCTCAAATGGTCCAAAATACCTAATCCAACCCAAAACTTAAAAAAATTTCAAAAAAAAAAAAAAAAATCCGGCCCGGACCGGGCCCGAACCGGCTGGGCCGGTTCGCCTAAAGCAGGGCCCGAGCCCGGACCGCCCATCACCCGGGCCGGGCCAAACCGAACCGCTGGACCCACCGGGCGCCGGGCCGGGCCGGTTCCGGGTCGGGCCGCCCGGCCCGAGTCCACCCCTATTTGAAATAGGAAGTACATTTGAGAATTGAGAAAACAATATTCAAGTATATTTATTTCAAATAAGAAGTACAATTGAGAATTAGGATGCATTTAAAAAATGTAATACATTTTGTAATAAAAAATCAATCGGAATCTCCGCCTTCGGTGGTTGTTTCCTCCATAAAGTGGCGGGTGGGAGCGATGGTCATTTCTTGAGTTCTTCGTTGGGCCTTCAACCAATCGTGGAAGCAAACTAGTGTCTCAAGAGAGCTCGGGCTCAACCTCGTTCTATAATCGGTTAGGACGTTGCCGGCCGCACTAAATTCTTGTTCCACGGCAACTGTTGATATCGGCATTGCTAGCACTTGCTTAGCCATCTTTGATAAAACCGGAAACGTTCTTTCATTTTCCTTCCACCACTTAAGAACGTCAAAGTCATCCCCAAATTCATAATCAACATTCAATGTTAGATACAAAGAAAGCTCGTTAACTGAGCTTTGTTTAGTAACGGGAGTTGCTCTACTTTTTTTCATAAGAGAACCAATGCAGATTTTAAAAGTGATTTTCCATTAGATGAAGAAGATGTTCGCGGCATGGGAGGGGGTGCATTACCATACTGTTCATGAAATTCATTATACAATTGATGAAATAAATTACTATCCTCATTGTATTCTTGTTTAGGGTCAATGGGATTATCATCAAACTTTTGAGTTGGAAAAAAACAAGCATAATAGTAATCTATACAACTTGACAACGAGGCAAGTTTATAACGAGGATCAAGAACAAATGCAATAACATATATATGCGGAACATGTGAATAATATTTTAAAAACTTTTGTTTCATGAAATCACAAAAATAACTAACGTAAGCGGCATCAGAAAATTCTAAAAAAGCGCCGGCGAGATTAACAGCTTCAACAAAAAATTCGTTTGCGGTAGGTTTATAAACATGACTAAAAGTTTGAGTTGCGTTATTAAAATATACCAAAACATTAACAATTTTTTCACAAGTGTCGATGTCAGCCGGGTTTATAATATAGTTACAAGTTTGTCTTAAAAAAGCAGGAAAATGTTCTTTATATCTAATAAGTACTTGAATTAAGTTATAAGTACTATTCCAACGAATAGACAAATCTTTAGGAAAAGCACAATAATTGACACGTCTTTCCTTCAAATATTGCCGCCATTGCATTTTTAGTGGAGTGTTAGCCCAAATCAATTTAATTCCCCCCTTCACTACCTCCAAAGCATTTCCTAATGCCGCTAATCCATCTTGTACACACAAATTTAGAATATGACATGCACAACGTTGATGAAAAAACCTACCCATCAATGTAGAAGCACCACACAATTCACGCAATCTAGGTATAGCAGCAGTATTATTACTAGCATTATCAAAACCTACAGCAAACACCTTATCAAGCAAATTATACTCAATTAAAATACGCTCAATGAGAATATAAATATTATCAGCAGTATGGCGATCATTGAATTCACGAAAAGCAAGAACACGTTTATGCATATTCCAATCATCATCAATATAATGTGCAGTAAGACCCAAATAATATAAATGATGATAAGTATCCTCCCATATATCGCTACAAATACTAACACGTCCATTAAAGTTTGCGAAAAATGTTTGTAAATTTTCTTTTTCGAAGTTATATTGCCTTATAACTTCTTTTTTAATCGTTTTGCGACTATAATTTCTAAATTGAGGATTTAAAGTACCTTGAACATAATCTCTTAAAGCAAGACTTTCGGAAAAAAACTATAGGGTAAATTTTCTTCAACAATTAAATGAGACATACCAGTCAAATGTTTTTGATCATCATAGAAGAAATTACCAAAGGGTTGAGAATTTGCAAACCTCGATATTTGTGTTTGCTTCCCCATGCCCTTGTCTATTTTTGCATACTCCACAAGATGGGCGGACTTAAGATGCCTTGTCAGACTCCCGTATCCGCCAGAAGTTCCCAAGCTTTACTCTTTGACGCAATGATTGCAACTTGCGTACCATTTTTCGGTATTTTTGTCTTTCCTTTTTGTAAAATTGTTTTCAATAATAGGAGATTTAGATTTCTTACCAGTTTGGGTTGAACCGCCCTCGTCCTCCAACTCTTGCTCATCATCCGGGGTGCCGTGAGTCCCCTCGCCCCCCGCGTTATCCAACACATCATCATCCTCGAGCTCCTCTTCATCAATGGTTGTCGGGATGTGTTGTTCTTGTGCAAAGCGTGGATCATTTTGGGACAATAGGTTTTGTAGATGCTTGTCGGACATCATCATATCATCTCTCCGTTGGTAATCCGTTTCAAAGTCATCTCGACTTTGAAAAGAATACTCGGCCCGCGCTTTACCTTTGCCTTTGCGTGAAGTAGGACGAGTCGACGCAATCTCCCTCTTGCGGTTGCGTTGTAGATTATCCACATCTACAGAATGTCTACCACACTCCATCTTTAAAATTGAACAAATATTAAATGATATCAAATATTTTATATGAGCTTAACTAATATTAATATGACAAATGCAAAAATTAACTAGTTTTTTTTTTTTAACTTTAATGAGAAATGTAGCAAGTAACTAATATTAATATGAGAAATGTAACTATTAACTAGTCTAACTAATATTAATATGACAAATGTAAAAATTAACTAGTTTTTTTTACTTTAATGAGCAATGCAGCAATTAACTAATATTAATATGACAAATGTAACGATTAACTACTTTAACTAGTTTTTAAAATGACAAATGTAAAAATTTACTAGTTCGTTTTACCTTAATGAGAAATGTATACTTTAACTAATATTAATATGAAAAATGTAACAATTAACTACTTTAACTAATATCTAGTTGACAAATGTAAAAATTTACTACTTTTTTTACTTAAATGAGAAATGTAGCAAGTAACTACTATTAATATGAGAAATGTAACAATTAACTAGTTTAACTAATATTAATATGACAAATGTAAAAATTAACTAGTTTTTTTACTTTAATGAGCAATGTAGCAATTAACTAATATTAATATGACAAATGTAACAATTAACTACTTTAACTAATATTAATATGACAAATGTAAAAATTTACTACTTTTTTTACTTTAATGAGGAATGTAGCAATTAAATAAGTAACTAGTTTAACTAATGTTAAATGATAAATGATATGTAACAAGTAACTATTTTTTTTCTTTGAAGAGAAATGTAAAGAAATGTAACAATTAACTAATTTAATAGATAAATGACAAGTCTAACAATTAACTACTTTAATAAATAAATATGAATGTGTATAAGTATATATAGTATATATAATGTGTAAATATATTATAAGTAATATATAATATAATGTGTATAGTATATAATATATAAGTGTATTACTATAAGATGAGTAATACACTTATACTTAATAATTTAATATATATATATAAGTATATATTAACTAAATGTAATATGTAAATATAAGTAAATAACAATAGTATGGATAATAACTAAATATCAAGTAAATATGAATGTGTATAAGTATATATAGTATATATAATGTGAAAATATATTATAAGTAATATATAATATAATGTGTATAGTATATAATATATAAGTATATTACTATAAGATGAGTAATACACTTATACTTAATACTTTAATATATATATATATATATATATATATATATATATATATATATATATA